TTTTTCTCTATGCTGAATGCCAACTCCTGCTTGTCTGTGTATCTGTCCCAGGTATAGTGTCGTCATTCACAGTTTGTTCTGTGCCTTTGTGTTCTCATTTCAGCTTTGGTTTTCAAAGATGCTCAACTTCAGGCATGAAGAAAGCAATTAAATTTTAGCATTCAAAAGGGTAAAGGAGGAGGGGCTGGAATAATGGGAAAGGGCATAATTACATGTTCTCACTGTCAGCTTATCCCTGGAAAAGCTATTTAATGAAGCCTGGTATTTGTACCAGCCATTCTCTTGAAACTAGTCATTGTTAACTATAAACAGAGCAGGACGCCTTAAAGGTGGCATTCACCCAGAGGAAGAATTGGGATTCTCCATGCTCTCCCTTAGGACAGCTGGTCTTCGTTAAGAAGTTTTCATCTGTGGACAGCAGCAGCTTCCCTGGATCTCTCCAGGAGGGGTGGAGTTAATTAGTAGCCACAACCAAGTTTGCTGTCAGCTGATATCTGGCGATTTTTGAGAGCCTGATATTTTCTACAGGATTTCTTTATTTAAAGCAGGATCCTCACAGAGCATGCTGTTTGGGGACCAGTGAGTAGCTGATGAGTTGTAGTTCTAATCACTTTATGTCTACTCATCCTTTATGTACAATCAATGCCTTTACACACCATCTTAACTAATTCTCAGAACATGCCTCCAAAGCAGATAAACTTCCCTTCCATATCTCAAACACTAACAACATTCCTTTCATAGCTCTTCACTATCCAGTTCAAAGTCCTCCTGTTGGTGGGTGGCAGAGCCAGAAATCAAATTCATTTCTGTTAGACTCTCATATTCAATCCTCTTAAGACTATTCAGCAGTCAGGGTACTCCTGAAGTGAAAGGGATTTGGGATTATTTGTTCCAAATTACTTTCTCTCTAGAACCTGTGATGTTTGGGGGGAAAACAAATCAAAACAAAACAGATTTACTAATGCCCACCTATATCCCTAACTATGTAGGAGGCTGAGGCAGGCTAATAAGAGGACTGCCTAAGCTATAGAATGAGTTCAAGATCAACTTGGGCAACTTAGTGAGACCCTGGCTCAGCATTAATTTAAAGCAAAAGGAAAAAAAGAAGGTTGTGGTTTGATGATGTAACTCAGTATCACAGTGGTTGACTGACATGTATAAAGCCTAGGTTTAATCCCCAGTACCCGAAAAAATAGACTTGTCTGCCTGTTTATATATTTAGACTAGGACAGGGGCTGTGCAGAAGCCTACTAGAGTGCAAGTTCCTTGAAGGTAGAGTCTATGACTTTCTTTCTGTAAACAAAGTCAGACACATACTAGATATCCAGTATCTACTATGTTTTTCCTCGAACATGGCCTGATGCCCATCTTCTTCCAGATTGACCCTTTGACTCTGGACTTTGTTGCAAAGCTTGTTTGGGGCCCTCTCCCCAAGTGCTCAGGGCTCCGAATCCTCGGAAGCCCTCATAGCTGGTGTCCTTTTTCAGCAGTAGTCACTGCTTCATCCATACCAAAACTTTACTCCAAGTTCAATTTATTTGGAAAAAGATCTAAATAAGCTGACATTCATTCCAGCAAAAAAGTAGAAGTCCAAGAAGAATGGAACCACTAATCCGTAGCAACAGCTACCTCAACCCCCTGAACTCTATCCCAGGGACAGTCTTAACCACTTGAATCCTGTGTACTCAACCATAAGAAAGCAACAAGACCTCATATTAGGCCACATAGCTGGTAAGGCAGAGTCAGGAAGTAAACTCAAATTGGTCAGACTCCGAGATTAACAGGATTAGTCATACTTTTAAATCCGTCATCAATGACTACTCCAAAGAATATTTAGGCCTCAAAGATAAGGCAGAGAGATCCAGGAGGCAGGAGGCCCAGAACGCCTTTCCTAGGATCCTGTTTTAGAGCCTTGTTGCATGTTTTCCTGGATCTGTTCCTTACTCCAGCTGTGCATCTACCTTTTCTTCAGACCTTTGGCCTTTATTCAGGTTCATCTTGGTGTCAGTTTACCAGGTCAGAACACAGAACGTAATTCTGTCTTATACTTCCAAATCTTGGATTCTAGGTTTTAGATAAAAAACACTCTCCACCCTATTTCCAAAATAAACATTCTAACTAGCAAAAATGGAAACATATTTGAACTATTTATCGTATTTGTTGAAATTAAAATTAGTGTTGGCTACCCCAGTCCTGGAGGCGCCTGTTCAGTTGGCACCTAGAGAAAGCAGACCTCGGGAAAACCATTCACAACATGACTCTGAGGATGTGTGTTATGTTTCTGTGTAGCCAGCACTGAGCTCAGGGTATGGAGTTCCTCCAGTTCCAAGTCATCCCCTGAATCACAGTGTGACTCCATAGAGTCACTTGGCTGATGTGTACGAAAGCCAACTACAGTTTAAGGTACCAAATAGGAGCTCTGAGACATCATGGGAGCATACCAAGTTGGTTAAATAACATTAATCCAGTCCTTTTGTACATTGCAGCACAAAAAATAAAAGTTTGCCTGTCAGGAAAGTGACTGTAGCAGTAAGAGTCCAGTGGGATCTACCCAGTCTAGGGGCTTTCTCTTTCTCATTTCTAGTCAAGCAGGATTACTGTAAGACACAGTTTAAAAATCAGCTCATTGCTGATGGCTTTTGTCTCACAACCCTCCCTCCACCCTAGAAAGCAGACGTGGATATGAGCCACTCCCTCCTTGCTCTGAGCAAAGCCTAAGAGCTCTCCTATAGAGTTCCACTCTTGCCATTTGCACCAGCAGCCAAATCTCAAATGTGTCCAGGATTTGTATGAGGAAAGCAGTGTTAGTTTTAATCTCTATCAGGTGGAATAGATTGAATATGGACTGTGATAGCCATTTTTCATTGACTGATTGACCAAAGACATTTTGGTAGTAAATTACAATATCACCTGATACACAAAACAGGTGCTCATCATACCGGCATAGGACAACTCCCTAAGGTATATAGAAATTGGGGTCAAAAATGGAAACTGTAGTCTAGGAATGTTTCATACCCTTTGGCTGTCTTGGAAGGGGATGGTCATGCAATGATATTAAAAAAAACACATGGTGATATAAGCTGGCAGCTTACTAGCTGTCCCTCCTAGCATCAGAAGCAGTCTCCACTAACTCAGAAAGCTAGTAGGGGTGGGGCATTACAGGCCATCAAACCCTGTATCCTCTCTATTTGGAGATGGAAGACCCAAAGTTCAGAAAATGGTATCACTAACCTAGGGAGCACCAGAGGATGTAACTGAATTCCCAGTCCACTTTTCCCATCACCCCATGATACTGAGATCCCTGGGAAACACCAGTAGTCATTTGCAATAGAGAGGAACCCAAGCCACAGACTCTGGAGATAGTGATTGATTGTATTTCAGCTCCAGGTGTACATGCTGTGTGATCATAGACAAGGTGGTTAATTTCTCTGATCCTCAGTTTCACCATTCATGAACTGAATTATATCATTTAGAGGTGATAATAGTGCTTTTCTCTTAGAGTTTGTTTTCATGCTTAAAAGAGTTTAAGTATATTTAGAATTGCAGGCTCATGCTTATCCCATATGGGACACAATATCAGCATTCCATCCTTATCCTCTTCAAGAAGCCTAGGGATTAATGTAGTTGCTCTCATGGTTCCAACTCTGGATTATTCCAAAGAGACCGAACATGGCAGCAATCTTCTACCCAATGAACTCCAAGCATCTCACTACCCACACTACCAGAAACACCCCTCTCCCCCTTCTTGTTCTTAATGCTTTGCTTTAGCTAAACCTTGTAATAATAGTAAGGCGTTCAAAGAAAGACTTAAGTCTATTCATTGGGAGACCCTACAGGACCTCAGCCTTTTAAAGCTCTTTCCTGGCAAGACAGTTTGTTTCCCAAATAGGCAATGAAGACCTGCCTTGAGTTGTTGGTAGAACTCTGCTGTCTGTCTTCTTCCCCTTCCCTTTGTCAATAGTCTTACAGAGCATCTCTCTGTGGCTTTCAATCCTTTGCCAATGTGCAGTTTTGCTTTTTCTGGAATGGATTCACCTGTGAGTTGTTGCTTTTTGTTTATGACCCCAAGTGTTTACAAATAGAGCTGATGGAAAGACCCAGAGACAGAGCCAATGTTCTCTGGGACCCAGGGAGGAAAGGACAAACCCAATGTGTAATTTGTCTTTCTGATGCATGGTGATGAGGAAAGGGAACCATTCATGAACCTATGGTTTTATTTCCCAATGGAATGCCATTGACACCTGGGGATATAGAACAGGGCCAGTTGAAGTAGGGAAAAAAATCAAACAGGAAATGAGAAAGTTCTGTAAAGCTAGACCATCACACGGCAGCTTGTTCTGAGGATGCATTTTTGTTTATGGATGTAGTATAACCACACTGGTGGCTGAGAAATACCCAATTATACTCTTTAGTTATCCATTCTCAGCAGCTCTGTGAGGGCCTTCATAATACCTAATTACACATACAGAAGAAGAAGTCAGACAGATCCAGACCTAGACTTTGGTTACTCACAAAATATCTCTCTCCTTCTCTCTGTCATGCTTGCTTCTCACCCTTGGGGACCCTCTCCCCAACCCCCATGCCTGTCTATTTCTTGATCACCCCTGTGTATTCGAGAACCCATTTTCATGGATAAAGGATGCTTAGAGGCATTGTTTATGAAGGGGCTGCCATATGTCACCTTACTGTGGAGTCCCGCCTATTGTCCTTATCTTGGGGTTATGTACTTAAATAGCTATTATCAACTCCTCTCTTAAATATTTTAGCCCTTAGCCTTTCAGAGCAGGTGGTAGTGGTCAAGGCACCCCATTAACTTGCCCCTTTAGGTTTCTACCCTTCCACTGGCATTTTCTGTTTCTCCAAACCTAGAACAGTCAGTGTTGAGGGGTGGAACTTGTGAGACTGTCACAGAGAAGCATGACTTGCATTTGCTTATCAGGGGTGAGTATGATGTCCTATGGGCACATGCTAATGGGTCTGTCTCTCTTTCCCCTACACAGGGCCTGGAGCAGTCATTGATGGTGTAAACTCGGCCTCTAGAGCACTGGCTTGTCTCTGGCTCTCAGGGACCTTCTTTGCTCACTTCTTCATCAAGTTTTGATAAGAAACCCTAGGTCCTCTGAGCGACGCCTGCTTCTCCATATCACAGACTTTAATCTACACTGCGGAGGGCAAACCAGTTTGGGCTTCTTTTTGTTTGCTTATTTTTTTGTTCTCCTTGATTTTTTTTTTCCTGGGATTTTCAATTTATTTGATTATTCTTTTCTAGTTGGAATGAGTGGAGTTGGGGATTGGGGTGGGCAGGGTTCTACCAGGTGTAGAATAATCATTCACTGATGTGTCCAAAAATGGAATCTGTTCCCAGTGGTTAAGAGCACATACTGGGGGGCTGGAGAGATGGCTCAGTGGTCAAGAGCACTGACCACTCTTGCAGAGGACCTGGGTTTGATTCCCAGCACCCACATGGTGGCTACAAACCATCCTTAACTCCAGTTCCGGGGAATCCAAAGCCCTCTTCTGACCACCACGGCATTGCATGACACGGGTGCACTCACACACATGCAGGCAATACACTATACACTCATACACACAAAATAAAAATAATAAATAAAATATTTTTTAAAAAAAGAACACATACTGATCTTACAGAGGACCTGAGTTTGATTCCCAGCATCTATATCAAACAGGTCACAGCAGCCTGTAATTATAGCACTGCACTCTCACCCACCCACCCACACATACACACACACACACACACACACACACACACACAGATTCCACATGCACACACACAAAAAAATGCCTCATGACAAGCACCCTGATAATACAACTTGACTCACAATAATAGCACACAAAAGAATTGTATGTACATGTCCTATTACTTTTGTCTTTCAAACTTTCAGTCATGTTCCTGGTTATAATGTGATGCATATCTTTCTCTCCGTGTTTAGTGTTACCTATTCCATTAGGGATCACATCTTTTCTTTCTAAGAAGCTATCTCATTATATCCATAGATATGCATATTTGTACATCCATACATAAAACCTTACCATCTTCTCCAGGTACTCTACCCTACTCATTTTTTCCACTAGCTGTAAGAATTAAAGGCTTGAGACTATGCATGTGATCCCAAACTAAAATTTTAGATGTCAAGTAACAAAAGAGGGAAGTACATTAAGGATAATACTTCTCTTAAAATTGTTGTTGCATCTCATAAAAAAAGTGATCAATAGATGGCTAATTATGTCATCAAGTTATCAAAGTAATCATGCCATTATCCATTTACTCAATTGATTTATTTCTCCACTCAATCTACCCACCTGTCTTCATCTCTCACAATCTATTTGTCATTCTATCAATGTAATTACCTAACTGTTCTTTCTGTTTCTCTTCTCATGATTCACTATCTGTTCATCACCCTCTTAATCTCTAATCATATCCTGTCTATCCCATTATCTCCATTTCTCCTCTGCCATCAGTAGACATTGCCATCTCCAAAATTGCCTAGCAACTTCTTATGTGAAAGCCAACGATCTCACAGACTACACACAAGAGCAATATCCTATGTCATGTACTCTTTGAAAAGTAGTGACCCATCTTTCCAAATTAGGTGATGCTAACAGATGGACCAAAGTAACAATCTGAAGATCAGTCACTCACAAATCCCAGAGAGACTATTCCCTAAACCACCTTCTTGGGAAGCAGATCAACCCTAGAGAAGCCTGATTAGCACTGCATTTCTTCTTTCACAGCTGAAGGATTAAGGTTCCAATCTCATGCTTCTCTCATCCTTTCAAGAAAGTGCACGTCAGGAACTTGAAGGAACTTCCTCATGATTGTCTTTCATTAGCAGAAAAATCCTGATGGAAAACCCCGCACTGCCCCTGCAACGTAAAGACAGAAGTCCACCAGCCAAAGTGTGATAACTATAGCTAAGGATCTCCTTTTTGCTCCAGTCTGGGCTTGAATTGTTTGAAAATTATCCAGTAAAAAGCGGATGGAGGCCAATTATGTGGCGGGTGTGTTGACAACTGTGGTATTTGTTTCAGGAAGCACTTCTGAGCTGAGGGCACTTGAGCTACCGACTTAATTTCCAGGCACTTGATTAACACAACACTGCAAACAGAGGAGGAAAGTGTAAGTAACACTGTTTCCTCTGATATAGGCTGTTTCTCTAGTGACTCTGGCAAAGAATGTCCCCAAATTCTTGTGTTCAAAGCAGATCTAGTGCACAAATAAGAGCAGATCTGAACTTACGGCATTGTCTTCTGGGACCAGAAGGACTCAGCCAGCAAGAACGCCTGAGGTTCGAAGGAACAACATTGAAAGCCACATAGGGCTGTCTGTTGAGACGGGTCTACTGAGGGATTGAGAAAGACCATCACAGTGACTCCTGCCTCCCTCATGAAACTTTTTCTGATCCACCTCTAAAAACTAATGACTATGGTCTCCATTAGAGCTCTGTTTCCTTTAACTCATCACTTGCTCCAGTATTAAGTGCCCTCTGTGTGGGTGTGGGTGTGTGTCCACTAATGGCTACATGAGCACAGCACCCAGAGTGGGGAACTATATACATATATGCATAAACACAGAGATAGAAATGCAGACTGCTTTGGCTTACAGAAACTCAGGATTGTCATGAGAGATAGAGCTGGTGTGAGCAAAATTAATACTATACTTGCCAGCTGTAAACAGACATCTGCATTTCCTAGTGAGCTGCCAAGAACAAGGCTCTGTGAGCATAAATGATGTGCCAAAAGCAGTCTATTGATTCCAAGTTCCAGAGGCAATCATGAACAGGCACAAAGTCAGAATTAAAGGTCAGGCATATATGTTTCAGATCTGTCACCACACTGAGCACCTGGGATTGGGCTGGTGCCAAACATTGTATAGAAGTCAACATGGCATATGAGTATCTACACATAGTACATTTGTTACTTTGGAAAAAGGAAATGCGGATACTGTAGAGACTGGAAGGTCTTAGATAACATGATGCTTGAAATGGACAAGCTGTAACTGTTCCTCACCATCTTGGGCATGCATAGCTTCAGAACCCCATTGAGGGTGGACTAAGGGTCACTGTGGAACCCCGCTTTGCCCACTTCCACTGAAAACTGAGAAGCATCTCTGGTGGTTACCTAGTCTAGCCATACAGCACAGGGAAAAAATGCTACATATAATCCTCTTCTGGGTGCGATAAAGACAACCAAGTACAAATGACCCAGGGCAACTGGGCACCAGAAACAAAAATGAGTTCTTCACAAAAGACAAGCTCCGAGCTTCATGTTATCTGAGTGACTTTGGTGGGGAAGGCTTCACGTGAGGGGAGGAGCCTCCCAGCACCTGGAAGCAAACCAAACAGTAAATGTTTACTAAAGACAACATGCACATTTACACATGCTTTTCCAACTTTACACATGGAGGGTAGATGGATAAGACATACTGGACAGATTCATTCAGGATGACAATGGTAGGGGTGAGGTGGAGGTAAGGGTGGGTAAGAGAAACACATTAGTCTAAGTAACTGATAGCTCACTGTAGGTTTTCTAAGTGGAAAGGAAACCAAATAAGGTTTATCAAGAGATTAAGAGAAATTCAGCAAAGGGAGTTATTCTAAAACTGCCCCCTTCCCAAAACAATGCTAATTTTTCCTTCCCCTATGCCAATGAAAGTGCTGGTGTTATGGCTCAAGCCAAGCTGTTTTTGAGTAGTTTAATGTCAAGTGCCTGATATAGTCATCTGCAAGTCTAAACAAGGGTGTTTAGTTTTTCTTTCTTGTTCTCATTGGGAAGAGTGACTATGTAAGGGACTGGTTGTCAAAACATACATAACTCTGGCACAGATAGCAAGCGCATGTCTGTTCTGCTGTGGGCTGCAATTGTGCTCAGCTGAACAGAAGGGAAGGGAGAGCTTTATGTCACCAAGAAGACAGTGCCTCTTTCCTCTGAAGTCCACATCACTTAGGCAATGTTGTTCACAGGTTGGGCAATTAGGTCTCAGAACTTGGTAGAAAGGGTACTTGGGTCTCTAGGAACTCTGCAGCTGAGGCTGAGTTTTAAGGGTCCCTTTCAAAACCAATCGGGTCAACTTGTCCAACAAAGTGGAATAGCAAATTTCAAATTCTATTTATATGAACTATCAAAAGAGCAGAGAACCCCCAAATGGGCAGTTAATCCCAAAGAGAGTTTTTCACACCTACTGTATGAGGGGTGGTTGGAAATTGAATCTACAAGCTTGGTCGATGCTTCCAGTGGCAATGGGCACAAGTTCTTAGTAGTTTATTTGGTTGTTACCAGCCCCTTCAGAGTAGAAAAGAATAGCTGGAATAGCTTATAAGGTATGAGGGGTTGGTTTGACCTGAAGGTTTTCACCAGGATAGGAAATACTGGGTTGGCAATACCTAAAACCAGATCAAAATAAAGAAAAGGGGGAAAAAAAGTTGTTATTCCCTTTGAAATTAGGGGAAGAAGCATAAATTTTTCTTTTCAGCAAAATGCCTTTTTCTTTCCCCTCCAACAGCAAGAATATTTTGGTTTTATTTTGCATAAACCCTATTCCTGGAAATTCTCTTGTCCAATTGCTTCCCCCTTATTATCCAAAGCTTTCCTCTCTTTCTTTCAAAACAAATAACTTTGAGTAGTTGCAGTAACACTTTCACAGGTGTGTAAGTAGGAAGGCAACACTTTAAAAGATGCCATATAATGAGAACTTCTAATGACCACTAAAAGAAAACAAATAAAGATGCCAGACTCATTTCCTTCATTTCTTACTTAAAAGAAGAGAAGTAAATGGAAGGAAGAAGAAATAAATTTGCAATTAAAAGATGTGGCACAAACATAAAGTGGATGCAGTGGATTCTAGCCCTCGGTGCAGAATGCAGTCCCCAAAGGAACATGGAGTGGACATAATTAGATGCAATTGTCTTCACAGTGAAAATAGTCAGTTAAACCTAATTTTTAAGCATTTTGGAAGAGATTCCCCCTTTTTTTTTTCCTTTCCTTTCCCTGTGGTGCCCTTTTAAGGAACATGGTTGCTCTACACCACTGGGTGGTAAAAGAAAGATTGTGAATCCTCTACCATCCCTGTGGGGCTACAACCTAGGTTATTTGGCAGATTATAAGAATATCAATAACGATAAGTAATAATAGCTGCCCTTGTGTTAGTGAAAGGGAGCATTTTTAATCATTTGGAAATTTTTGTGACATGTAAAGTGCAATTGTGAGGAATGTGTGGGTGTACGAAAATGTATCTGTCAAGTTCAGAGTCCTCTAGATTAAAAAAAAAAACATATAGATTATCAATGGTGCCGTTACTAGCTGTGTTGGACAATGGGTGTTTTTCATTTTTAATCATTTGGAAATTTTTGTGACATGTAAAGTGCAATTGTGAGGAATGTGTGGGTGTACGAAAATGTATCTGTCAAGTTCAGAGTCCTCTAGATTAAAAAAAAAACATATATGATTATCAATGGTGCCGTTACTAGCTGTGTTGGACAATGGGTGTGCCCATTTTCACAATTATCCTTAAAACAATTCTATGTTCAGATGCTTTAAATTTTATCACATGATGCAAGAGTATAACTTTGTCGGCCTTCAAATGTTCTTTTTCCTTTTGCTTTCTTTCTTTTTTTTTTCTTCAAAAATCAATGAAGAGTTAATTTCTGTCAATCATTGTATTGAGGGTGAATATACTACCTGAATTTTGTGCATGTTACATTGTAGTTGTAACCTTTTCTAATTCAGGATGAATACGAGATGGTTGTGATTGTGCAGTGTATCAATAAAGTTTGAAGAAATTTGTAACTTTTAGGGGACTGTTTATTAGGATGTCCCGCTTGAAATTTAGGAATGGAAAAAGTGAAGCAGTTGTTTGTTTTAGACTTTGAGGAGTTGATGCGATCAAAAAGCTAATTAACCTCCCTCCCTCCCTCTCCATTTCTCCTGTTCTTTCTCCTTCTCAATTTATACATATATATATATACATATATATATACACAGAGCACTCTAAGCAATTTCCATATTTTATCTTTACAGCAAATGTCTGTGTTCTTTATAAACAACATAACACACAACTTCAGTCTCACAAGTTTCAAGAATTTATTGACATAGACTAAATTGAAATCAGAAAAGAGGTGAGAAGTTTTCTAAAAATAGTGACCCGATTCTGTCCCGTGTGGGCATTCTTCTCTCTCACAGACCCTGCAGATTCATTGGACTGCAGTATGCACCCTTTGGCAAGGAGTTGTGTGAGAGTGCACGGTAGTGTGCCCTGCCTGCATTCTTGAATGTTGGTGCATTCAGTTAATTGTCCCTTGACTTTGTCCAGAATACATCTAAGAACAGCAACAAGAAAGAGCCCTGGGGAAGATGCCCCATTTCCTAGGGTGCCATTTCTAAAGTATCATTTTCATCCTACAAAATCCCAACTTTTCCTCCATCACCCCCTTCATCTGCTTTTTTGGAGGAATGGACACTGACTTATTTTTTTTAACTTAGTTTCTCCTCAGCAAGCTTTCTCAGTGAATCCTTCCGAGTAAGTGTGTGGTCTTGGACAGAATTTCCTCTCCTTAGCCTTTGCCTCTCATCTGTACCACTTGAGAATGGAATACCCCTCCCACTATTCCAGGCACAAATTCTGTTTGTCTGTTTGCTTGCATACCTATTTGTTTGTTTTCTTTCAACCATAAAATATCTCCAGGCTTCTCACACACAAAGCCTGGGGAAGTGGATAGTGATGGTTTGGGAATTCAGTAGAGCATGGATGAAGAATCAACTCGATTCACAGCACAAGTAACTTCTCTGGCAAAGTCCTTGAGCTAAACTCCTGAGGCTGATATTCTTGTGGCTTCCTATGTAGATAAGGGTTAATTCAGACTGTTCATGACTGAGTTTTCCTCTGAGGGGAAGGAGCACAACTTGATATACAAGATATATATGTACTTTGTGAATCAAACTGGCAAGTAAAGAATCTGTACCAAGGACTCCGTTTCCACGCCCCTCTAGCTCAGTGTAAGATCATGCATTTCCAGTTCCTCTGCTGACTTCCACATCATCCATATTCCTTTCCTTTCCTCCTTTTTCTCTTCTCTTTCATCACTCTCTTCCCTTCTGTGCCTCACTCTCCTCTGCTCCCATTCATATCACATTTTCCCATCTACCTGCTCCTCCCTGGCAGAGACATTTATCAATCTTCTGGCCACTCCACACCATCAAACATCAGTGTACCAATTTATTCTTCCATCAGCTACCCACTCACATAGCCATTCACATATTATTTCCCCATTTATAGAACCCTAATTCTCTTTATATGGCCATGTACCTCTCTAATGTGACTGTGTTCTCCATCTATTTATTTAAGCCATCTATCCATTTCTTACCTGTCAATCCATACACTGAGCACCCTCCAGCTAGCCTTTGGCAGAAATACCTATTTCCCAGCCCACTTCAAGGTAATGAAAATCTTGGCTGTTATCTCTCTATTCCACATGGGAGGCGTTATCTAGTTATTCTTAAACACAGTGGCTAAACGATTGGATGCATTTTTGTTATCTTCACCCAAAATACACCCTATTAAAAACATATACCTACAGAAGTGCTTTGGGAGACGTGTAAGGGCATGCCGGTTCCTATCTAGATGCATTACAGTAGGAGGGTGGAGAACTGGGAGTGGGAACACTCAGACAAGGCTTAACTTTACATGTTTTTGTGTGTTCAGTTGGTTGGTGGTTTTTGTTGTTGCTGCTGCTCTTTGTTTATTTGGATTTATTTTGAGACAGGATTTCAATGTGTAGTATATGCTGTCCTTGAACTCACAATCCTCCTGCCTCAACTCCCAAGTGCTAGGATTAAAGGCGTGTGCCACCAAGTCAAATTCAATGTTTCCAGTACACAGCAATAATCTGCAGAAGCAAACAGAAGAGATCCAAGCAGCAACTTCCCCCTTTTTCCCCCTAGTGTTTTATTTGCTGTGCAGTATGCTGGTTACTTACCTTCATGAAAGGTAAAGATGTACTAAGCCCTATGATCAGTTCTAAAACCAAAGCCGTGATGCTGCCTTGCCTGGTCATGCTTATCTGGTCATGGGTTTTTATTCTTCCTTATAGGCTCTCCATTAATTCCTTTATTCATCATGCATGCACACGTCTACTGAGAAGTCCCCCTCAAGGAGCTCACATTTAAGATAAGAAAATAGCTGTATAAAAAGGAACAATTACAGTACAATATTGCAAGTATTATGATAGAGATATGAGAAAATGGTTGTAGGCTACAGAACAAATATTGGGAGATAATTAGGAGGCTTCCTTATTTTTTCCCCTCTTGATCCCCCAGGGACAATAGGGGAGATGCTGGGACAGAAACAGCTACAAGAGGTAATGGACATAGCACATATTACTACAAAATAAGCAGGTTAACAGAACTATGGCACATTCAATGTTCAGGAAGTTCCCGATGGAGTAAATATTTGTTAAGGAAATGAGAACCAAGAAAGGCATTAGAACTATAAACAGCCGAAGGGCCACGCTGTGTAGTTGATGATAAAGCTGACTGAAGACCTCCTACAAGGGAGGAACTAACATTCCCAGGATCAAATCTGGCTAGAAGATACAGTCTGACTACTGCAGCACTGTGCAGCCAATTGTCCCTGCTTGCACCTCAGAGCTCTGTGAGCCCTGTGAGGAGTGAGGGGGGATGGCTATGATTGGGAGCTGGAACCTGGCAGAGACAAAGACAGAGTCAGAGGAGGTTAAATGTGACCTTGCAGAGTGGGTTCTGGAAGTGGGCTCTTCTAGATAAGACACCTAAATTTCTGTGGTTTGGGATGAAATAGCAGACTTATTTGCATTCAAGTGTTTAAAAGCAGCTCTGATTTCAAATATAAGTATAGGTATAGTTTTTTATTTTCACCTCTCCATTAACTGTTATATCCTAGACATATTTTCTTTCATTTAGTTCTCACCCTCAAACCAGGTATTCACTTCAGAACGTAGTATGATACAACCTGATGAAATCTATTTTTAAATTACAGCCTCATGAGTTGCCTTGTACCAATTTCTGCGTTCTTTGAACTTCATTCCCACCCATGACAACACAGTGGTCCAAATAGCTACCTTACAAGGCTGGCTGTAAGAACTGTTAGGTTATTAGATGAAAGAAACTCTTATAAGGCATGGTTTAAAAAAAGAGGGTTTTTTTGTTTTGTTTTTTTTTTTTTCAAAATAAACATTCAGTTTTTTTCTCCTGTTCTTCCCTCAGACTTCCCTTTATAGCCCCTTTTCTCTATCAAACATCATTCCAACTATGGTCATTTGTTTTTTGGTTTTTGTTTTTGTTTTTTAGAAAAATAAAATCATGCAAAGGCAGAGACACATTTATGAGACTTGGACTATTCAAGGACACAAACTTTGAAAATGCATCGAGAAGTTTTCTGGTAGAATTTCAGAGAGTACTAAAAAAAAATAAGAAAGACTAGAATGTGATTTTCTGGCTCATCCAGATAGGCACAGAGGTACAAACTGGGGAACAAGGTATCTTCAAGAAAGTCCCAGCCCAGACTTAAATGCACAGATCAAGCTGGGAGTGCTTACTCTGTACCAGGCCTATGATTTCATTCCCAACATAAAAAAAAAAAAAAAAAAAAAAAGAGTCCAGCCTGTCATTTCAGGCATTATGTGGAACTGGAAGAGCCCATCACAAGCATGTAACAGGGCTGGCTCTAGGTGTACTTCTAGAAGAAGAAACATGGAGCTGAGTGTGAAAGGGACAGAAGAGCTCAGCCAGAAAAGAGGAGGAAAGGAAACAAAGGAGGAACTGCAGAGGGTCATCCCTGATGAACTCATAGATGCTGGAAAGGTAAAGAAGCCCGAGAGACTCTAAACATGGACTACCTCAGAAATGTGATTCCAGGGTTAGCTCAGTCAAGGGAGAGTGGACAAGGTGGCCAAGAACCAAGTTTGTTCAATCTTTTGACATTAAAACAAGGTGTTTTCATCTGCAGAGTTCACACTCGAGAATCACACAATCCAGTTACCAGAAAAAAAAAACCCACAAAAAATTTTCACAATATTTTAAATAATTTTATGTTGAGCTACACTCATAACTCCATACTCCTGGTCCACTCTTAGAAACTTCATAGCACATGCTCAGATGTTGGAATTGTCTCTAAAATGAATAAAGGGGCTACAGAAAGATTGATTTCCTTAGAAGAGGGATTGGATTGGGTTTGAAATTGAGAAAGATGCCCAAGCAGAGTCAAATGATAAGAGGGAAGGACGTTAGTAGGATCTAGAAAAATTCAAGTGAGGAAGGATGAGGAATAAGAGGTAACAAGCAAGTTAGGACAGTTTGTAGAGGGTCATTCTAGCATCAGGGTGAGAGGCACACTGCTGGAAGATGCAGACTCTGTGGAATACTCCACACTTTCAGTTCAGGCAACTGAGTGGAAGATGGCTGATGCTGAAAGATTAGGAGGAGGATGCTATTCTGCGCAGTTTTGAGCACATTCAGTTTTAAGTACCGATCTGTAGAACCTCCAGGTGGAGATGTTTAAGCGACATCAGCATTTTCTTCACCAAATCATATCTAAGCAGTCCACAAGAGATGCCTGATTTCTTTTCTCTGCCACCCTCTTTAATTCCAGAGGAACTTTAGCTCCTTGGATCATCCATCTGCAAGTTGTTTCTTACCCTCCATTTCCTCTGTGTCTTGATTTTGTCTTAAGAAGGTACTGCTTTTTTAGCTTATTGCTGTTGAAGGTAAAGAGCAGTTCCCTGATTAGGCAGTCCGGAAGCAACAGGTGATTTCAACAGGGAAGGGGGAAGATGGCATATTTATCCCACCACTCTGATAGAATGTGGCACTTGTGATGTCTAACACAAAGGGTCAAGCCCTTTGCTTTGGGTGATGAGAATAGCTGACCACTAAGAAGCTTGATACACATACACACACACACACACACACACACACACACACACACACATTTACAATTTACCTAAATTATAGTGGTAATTTAGGTAAGTCCTTTTCATATTTTTACTATATAGTCTGATGTCACTTGGTTGCAAATCCAGAAAGGTTTTTGTTTCTAAGCCTCATCAGAGAGCCTACTCTGATTCAGAGAAATTCATTTGAATGACCTAATACTTCTTTTTGTTTTGTTTTTGCTTTTTGAGACAGGGTCTCCCTGCAGCCCCAGCTGGCCTAGAACTCACTATGTAGACCTCCACCTGCCTCTGCCTCCCAAGTGCTGGGATTAAAGGTATGTGCCACCACGCCTGGCTTTAAAACACATTTATGTTTAACTCTGTTTCATTGTTTGTTTCCCCACTGATCCAAGAGAAGTCCTCCTGAAGCTTGCTGGAGAGATGTGCTGCATCTCAGCAGATGCGATGGCATCCTGCCACATCCAGTAGTCTTCTCAGTACGTGTCAGTAGAGTCATGTGAGCTCCAGTCTATGTGTACTGCTCAGGAGGCAAAGCAGTGGTCTTTGAAGAGACAAAAAATCTTGGTGTAAATTCTGATTTTGCCAAACATTAGCTATGTGCCTGAGGGCTTAAAGTATAATCTCATACAGTCTTAGTTTACTCACCGGTACATAGAGCTAGTAATTGCCTACCCTATGACATTGCTATCATGTGGAAAAGAAAAAGTGTGTCACAGCTCTTATAAATGCTTGTCATGCCATCTGCTCTGTTCGACCCCGCTTCCAAAGCACCTCTCTGTACCACACAAGGTGTTCAAGGTGTTCTCTGTACAGGATTGCTTTCTTTCATGTTTTTATTTTATTATTATTTATTATTATTTTTTGTTGGTGTGTGATTGAGACAGGGTCTCCCTGTAGCCGCAGCCGGCCTGGAACTCACGATATAGACCAGGCTGGCCTTGATCTTACAGAGATTCACCTGGTGGATTACTTTCTTTAAAGTGTCATATTCTTAGATCTGTGGCTGATGTTGACAGCTGAGGAAGGCTCTGAGATAGTGGAGCAGAAAGAGACCTCTACACAGGATGTCCAGATTTTTGTTACTGTAAGAGAATGATTCAGAGATGAGACAAAGTACATTTTAATACAAGCCAAAAGTGAATCGTCAAAGACTGACTTGACTGCAGACTTCTTGAAAGAGATAGCCCCTGTAGGATTAGGGATGTCACCTCACAGGAAATCTTTGAGGGAGGGAGGATTATTTATGAGTTAAGGCAATGAAAAGGTAAGGAATCTCAGGAATAGGTCATGGGTAGGGTTTGGAGTAAGGTTTTTCCTTCATTTTCTTGATCCCTACACAGGAC